ATCGGTGTCTGACATGACTTTCTTGATGACACTCCTCTTCATGGCGTCGTTGATGGCGTTCCGAAAGTCAAGCATTTTCTCTGAGACCAGACAATTGGTCTGCGGTTTACTGAACTGTTTGAAAATGCGCTCAAATGTGGGCTTTTGGTGCATAGACTTCACTCTCTGGATGGCGATCAGGATATTGCTGTCCGAAGGGGTGTCCAACTGTTGGCCGCTATCAGTGTCGGAGGTGTTGTCGGCATCCCAGTCCGAGTCTAGAGTCCCTGTCCATCAAAAACATTGAATAAATAATTAATAATACATTTAATAAAATAATAATTAATAACTAAATAATAATAAATTTAATAACTGCAATAAAATTCATAATAAACTATAACTAATAATTAATAATAAAGTTTAAATAATAATTTAATTTAATAACATTGCGACCAAACTATTGACTACACATATCCACAATAAATGCGTGAATAGGTCCTCAATGTCTGGACAATTCATTTGGTTATTAATTGGTACTGAATGTGAGAGAACGGAAAAGTGGTGGACAGCCTATCATATCATCTGATGCCTGTATAGTTGGTGTCCACCACTTCCCGCTCATTTCCAGCACAAAATCTACCGGTACCTGAAGTTATGTATGTTTTACAGTTAATGTTAATCATAACTACACTGTATAACTAGTGTTCACATTCACTACTGCCTTAAAAATTACAATTTTTATCACTTGAGAAGTGATCATAAAATGAAAACTAAAACAATGATAAGTTGGCAGTAAACAATGACTGTCGCTATCACCGAGATTTCAATAAAAAAAATAAAAGTTTTGGAAACATTTAAATAGAAAATAAAAAGTTTAAAACTTATTAGAGAAGCAATCGATTGCCATTCAATGTCTACTAATTTTTAAATCCTTTTCATCACTACTTATTAGTCACTCAATTCATCCAATCATACAAATCTAAATCTCAAAAAATTTCAAAATCATTTGACTTGACATATGGTAACGCGATAATCATTTTCACCCCTAATTCACACCATATTGTGAATGCAAACCCTGGTCTCCACTCTCTAACCCCTACCCCTCCACCAAATCTCACGACACTTACCATTGGTGTCATCACTGTCCACATCATCAGAAGTATCCCCTCCGGTATAGGGCTGACTCTCCACTGTCTCACTGGCCGTATCGGTGGACGACTGGGAAGTGTTGGCCACTGACTGGCCATCTCTGGCAACACTGGGTTTCGTGTCCTTCGAGTCGTGACTCGACTCGTGTTTGACTGCAGTCTCGGACTTAATGCCCGCAAAACACTTGATGTCCGAACCAAACACAGGCTTTACGTTTGGTTTGCGGTCGAAGGGCTCCAGCTTTGGCTTCACCTCCGACTTGACGGTCACTCCACTCGCCCTCTGCTTCATAGCCTCCATAAACCTCTGACCGAAGCCGCGTATTGGCTTCCGATCCACACATGGCTTCACGTCTTGAGCTGACTGTTGAGGCGTTTCATTGGCATCCGCTTTCACCTCACGTTTGGTCGTCACCACTGATGGCACGTCTTTAGGGAACTCTTTTGGCACCACTTTGAGGACATTATCTGCGGAGGAATCGGTTGATTGCCTCCTCTCTTGTGGTTTCTCTTTGGCTGTGGTTTTGGAGATATCTCTCGTCTCCACCACTAATGGCTTCACTCGCGATATGTCTTGAGGCGATACGACGTCCTCATCACTCGCGTTGTTAATGTCTTCCTCGGAGTCGTCACTGATATCAACGACAATGTGTTGCGAAGACTTCTTGGGAAGGGCTTCGCTGTGAGCGCCGCCACTGTTTGCGATCGTCTTGAGTGCCGACAAGTAGTCAAAGTGGTCGTCCTCTTCGGCGCGATCCATGCGATGGTTGTGTCAACGCATGCGAAGACGGGTTATGTGGTGTCTGTGGATGTGTTGATGAAGTGGTTGATTAAAAATCAACTGATTTTGTGGTAAAAGTTGTGACAAATGAGTGAAGAGTTGATTAAAAACTGATGAAAACATTGGGCGCAGGGATCGTATGTGTGGGCCGTCCGTGAACAACGTCACCATAAATGACGTTATTTTGTGCTGTTTTTTGTGAACACTGGCTATGGTTTTGAAGTTAGAAAACTTTTAACGAAATTAGAAATAAGACCTGGATGCAAATGTTTTTGTGTGTTGACTGGATGTTTATACAGTAAGGTATGTGACGAGTTGGCTAACAATTGGTAAACTTTTACCGGATGTGAGTGTAATTAAATAAAAATGTTTGTAATTTAATACAAAAAGTATATAACCAAGTAACATTGCCAAGAGAATAACCAATGAAAATGCATTGAATCACTAAATCACATGAATACTAATAAAACTTTTTAAATTAATGAAAATTTTGTTATATCGCTGCACATGAATAGATTGTCTCATAAATACCATATTGAGTGAACTGGAAAACCTCGGCAGATAGTGTTGGCCATACATTGGTCGCACAAATGAATAATTATTGCAATCCTAAGATATTAATTAATAAAACTCAATCAATACACCTCGAGGTAGGCAGCAGTCAGGAACACACAAATAGACAGACACTCGATGGACAGGAACTCGAGGAATGTGTGATTAGGTGATGACTGGTTGTTATGTCTATGTCTGGTCACCACTGGTAATGGGAGGCTCATGTTACATTAAACGATATCTAATTTAATAATAACATGATAGCATAAATAAATTTAATAATAAAATAATAAAATTTGAGATTCATAAAATAAGTTCTCATTGATTGGCATAGGGATTGGTATGAATAGAATAGGTATAGCCAATTGGGTCTACATTAGGATTAATTCCATAGCTTTCTATTCAAGTAATTTGATAGAAAAACTGATTGTCATAAGGTTTTACATAATCTGTTCACTAGTGTTATAAAAAGTATGAAAATAATGTTAATCTCATAAATTTTCAATCAATTGATTAAATCTGTCTAATATAATTGCATGGTTTTGATTGAAAAGTGTGCCTGATTCTAATATCCGACTATTAATGAATAAATTATTCACTCAATAACGAGGTTTGATACGAGAAACAACTTTTTAATTATACAATTGTGTCACTCATACGCTAAAGAATTACATTTAAACCGCATTCAAAATATAAAAATAATTTTTACGGAATAATTTAATTCATGATAAAATGGTTTCACTTTGAAAAAGTTGTCTACACATTAATAATTTATGTTTAAAATTAATATACTATAGATTCTATAGTATAGAAAGTCTAATAAATAGCTGCCTTTTACAAGTTAACAAGTAATATTTATTCACATCTATGTTTGATAATCGCTTTATTGACTTGTTATTCAAATAAACTTTTAAAAACTTGTATTTTTATATACATTTACTTTAATACAAGTAAAATGTATGCAAATAATGTGAATATCACATAATATTTAGTATATTTCTCATTAAATACATTTATTGTATTAATATATTGTATTTTAAATCTATTTATTATGTATAATATAACAAAAATTAATATAATATACTTTCCACTTCCCTGAATATGTCATAAATTAAAAACAAATATTTGCATTTCGAGAAAATATTATTCAATTCTTAAGAAGTTATTTAATATGAATAATGAATAAAAAATAAATTCAATCCACAATTGCGTGGAAAATAGTTTTCAAATTAAAAGAAAACTTTGTATTGAAAAGGAATTTGTGTCAACAAATTTAGACAAACATTTGAGTTTCAAAAAGCAATTAATTGTGTTTTGATTCAAACTTATGTAACTTTATATATGGTACTGTTCATTAAAATCATATCTCTACTAATATATTAAATTATATCTACAATTATAGTCTATTGTTCTAGACAATAGTTACACGGTCACATTTTTGGCAGTAATATACCTGTTTAAGTAAATCTATTTGTGTCAATACATATCTAAATTTATTTTCATATAGAAATTCATGTATCATTGAGGGGCACACAGTATGCATTCAATTGTTTAGATTAGAAACAATTTAAAGGTTAAAAAGTAGCTATCATTCAAAACCTAAGACATAAATTGAGTTTAGCTTATAATAAGTTGACAACAAAAACAGTATACGGTATTTAAAAACTATTAAAAGTATAACAAATATTGAGTTCAGTTCCGGTTTCAATCTCCAATCCCTAATACATTGAATGAAAAGTCTCGATAATGAACTCAATATAAGATTGCATTTAGTCTTAACATAAATGTGTGTCCGCTCTGATTGAACGTAAAAGTAGTCTTAAGAGGTATATCTATATCACAAATATATTTTTATTACAGTAAACTAACTACGCTGAAAATACTTATACGGTTTTGAGCGTAAAACTTGTTTTTTAAGCCAAATCAGTTGATCCAGTATTTTATGTAACACTTTCTCTCCCATAGTATACTACAGTAGTATACTATATGTGTGTATAAAAGTTATGAAAACTTTTTCGCGTTTCAAGTTTTCCACTCTTATATATCTATCCGTAAAACGTGTCACTAATGTATAAATATCTGTATAAATAGAAAAAAGTGAAAATAGTTTTACAACTTCTGGTTGGAAACACATATTTGTTTCACGAAAAACAAGGAAATCGATTGCAGAGATTTCCTGAAGACATTTCCAAATCTGATCTAAATTATTAGTGTAGTGTTTCTGTGCGCAAAATAATAATCTCTCGAAAACTACCTGTGCAAAGGAAAGCCTATTTGCTAAAGTCCTCCACTCAATCACTGGTTAGCGTTTGGGAGACAGTGATCATCAAAATTATTGAAAAAGTTTTCACTAATAAAAAGTTTTTTCGTCTAATTATGTAAAGAAATATTATTTTCATTTTTCTCTACAAAAACGTCTATAAAGTGATCATTGAATGAGTTTTGTGTACAAAAAGTTTTTGAAGTCAATGTTTTTCTTTATTATTATTGTAAGTCTCGTGTCTTTCATAACTAATTTCATGATTCTTATCGAAATTAAAACTGTTATTTAGAAAATGAAAAATATTTTTCCAGCAAACTATTTGTTCAACACTTTTAACCTTAATTTTTTGGATATGTTTTCCCTTTCATTCTCTAATGACTTCTCAGTTTGTAATGTCTAAAGAAGTTTGAATAAAGTTTGCATTAAGTGAGCGCTTACTTGTATTTAATATAATAGAAGTTATTAATAACAATATTATTATACGAAAAATGCTTATTTAAATAAATAACTTTAATTTACGAGTCGTGTCCTAATAACAAGTATTTAATAACACATAAGTAGGGAAAAGCTATTTACGAATACTATTGTATTTACTGAAGGATAGCTTCCCAAACAAATTGTGCGTTAATTTGTTTTGTGAACTCATGCTATTATAGTAATAAACTTTTTACAATGCATTCACTTTCTTATAATTCATAATCAAATGTGAATTTCCCTCGAAAAATGATATTTTATTGATAAATAGCAATGAATTACTTATAAATCTAAAGTTAACATGAAAATTAAAAATTGATAACTTTTTTCACATACTTTTTCCACACAAACAGTGAATCACTTGCGACTTGTGCTCAAAACCATTGGAAATA